TGATTTATGTGTTGTGGTTGTGTGTGTAGGTGAGTGTGGAGGTTTTGGTTGGGTGATTGGGTAGGAGGGGGGGGGGTTGGGGTGCTTATATTTGGAGGCGATTTAAAGGAGGGTTTTTTGCGTTACGAGTTTGGGGGGCTTATACATGGAGGAGCTTATTTTCGGAATTTTACGGTACTTTTCCATAAAGAATTATATAGGAGAATTTACTATAAAAGATCGAATCATTTTCCCGTAAGTAATCATTTCTTTTACTCTCACAACCTTTCTCTTGATTATAGATTGATTTTGGTGAGGAAAAAATTGATGTAGGTACCTTTTGGGAATTTACGGGTCAGGTTCTTTAAATTTTTTGGATTTCCTGTGGCAACAAATTTTACGGCGATAAAGAGCATTTCCTAGAATTAAGTTATAGTAAAAGCAAGACAAAATCAGCGAAGCATCGTTAACGAACTTTCCTTAAACATTGCATTTGTCTTCCTAAGAAGGCAATATTGCCAAACCTACGGCAATCTATGCAACCGGAGAACAATATAGTACTAGTGTCCAAAATGACAAGTTTTCTTTTTATACATGTAAGAACAATTTTCCACACTACCTATACCTTCTTAGAAAGTTTCAATAGTGGTCTAATTTATCTTTAGATTTAACGTTTTTTATTTTTCTTTTGTAATAATTTTTTACGATATTATCTCTTTTTTTAAAATGTTTTAATGAAGGATAAGAGGCGCGTGTATAAGTCGATCCGTTGATCAAGTTTTGAAAGAGCTGTATTAGAACAAATAAGTAGACAATGATGTAATGGTAAGACAATATTTATTTGGAACTATTACAAGTTTTTTTTTTTACTCCTCTTCAGTCGAATATAGCCGACTCTGATCCTTTTTTGGCGATCGTAATAGTTATTGCAACTTTTCATACAGTATGTCTGGGTTGCCCGTGGTAAGAATATGTATTTAAAGCTCTCATTTGGCCTGACAATGTCCACGGCAGAAACGGGACCGTGTAACAATTTTGAAAATCTCGCAATGATTAAGCTGGAAACCTTTTCCTCGGAAAGCGAACAATGGGAAGCACACAAAAGTTAATCAAACTTTGCACTCCATTATGAATGATTCTAATGAAAATTTTCAAAAGGTGGGAAGAACTGAAATGTATTTATATGCAGGTGACCTCTGAGTATAACTGGGTGTTATAGATGATTTTATGATATGATCTTGTTCATACTATTATAGCAATCATCCTTGTATCACCGTCTTTCATTCCGGGTTGAGAAATCTTTTATAATTCATTAAAGGAGCCTGTCACGAAATATATCAAAATTCAAACAGTGTGAACCGCAACTAAACTGGGTGAACATAGAAATAGAGCGATTTTCGTATGACTTTGAAAAATGGTTTCGGTAAGTGTTCGTTAAATTATTTGTTTTGTGTCAGCCAATGGATGAAAAGATCGAAACATGGATTCTTCGGTTTCCCGCCAAAGAAAACCTTAATATGGAGAAGGCATTGTTCGATTGGCCAGTCGTGTTGCAGTAAGACTTCAAAGCGAAGTACCGATTGATTTCTAGAAAGTTCTTCGTACATGAAGTTTTTTCAGCTGAGCGTTCGCGTAACCAACCAAAAACCGCGCGCGTTTGTATCCGTTCGACAAAACCAATCAAATCGCTCTGTTTCCTTTAGTTTGTTGTTTCTGTTTTCTGGTCATACGAAAATTGCTCCAACTGCTCAGAACATGAAAAGAAGGTATAAAAATCAAAGCACATATAGAAGGAGGAATGGATGGACAATCTTGAAGAGGATTGAAAAGGCCATATTGCAATCGTGCTTTTTGACAACTTGATAGCCTAACAGTTTTTCAAAGTTCATTTTTGTTGTTTGGGTATCGTTTGATATACTACTTGGGAGACATATTCAGTCTTTGACACGTAGCGGTGATTTTGCCATTTACAAGTTATTTAATTCTCAAGTTCCATAATAAGGGCGCGGTAATATACTGGCATTATTAACAACAACCATGACACAGCCACAGAATATAAATACCGATTATAAAGGGACTTTTAAAACCGTTTTAAGGTAATATGTGCTTTATCGATTCCAAAATAACTCAGTGCATGGTTACTACCTCGGTACTGAGTTACACTTCCCTCGTAATTGACACGAACACTGATTCCTTGCCATGACACTGCAATTTCACTGCGTGAATTTGTTGCACTCGCACTCCACGATCAGTCTGCCTGACATTCCTTACAGAGTGGGTTCAGTTCTCCGTAATCATGGCATCGACTGCCGATGCACTGACAGCAGCCATTTCTAAACCAGCGGTATTTGGAAGCTCCCATGGATGAACATGAACTGATACAATCTTCTTTTGAAATACACGTGTTATAAAAAGCAACTTTACATTGATTCCTACGGCTGGACGTTCCTGAAATGAAGAGTAGAATATTATTAACGGAAATGTTCCAAATCCTGACTATTAGATATTTCGCGGCTTAAAACTCCGAGGTATAAGAAACAAACAGTAGTTAGTTCATTGCAATAGCAATGAAAAAGGAAGCATTTCAAATAAGCTATTTAAAATAATAAAACGATTCTGCAAAGTGTGGCTATAGAACGCTTACTGAGTCAGCTGTTTAGTATATAATAGGGCCATATACGAGGAAAAATAAGACGCGTCTTACATAAGACGCGAACTTTCGGCATAAACAGCATATTTCGTCTAAAATAAGACGCGACGTAGCTTATTTTAGAACAGCCCTGTTCTTAGATAAGACGCGTCTTAGCTAAGACGAGGAAATCGTTGTATAAATGACCTTCGCTTCCCTTCGCTTACATAAGACGCGAACGCATAGTACGCATGCGTTAATTTTTGGCGGGAAAATTATCGCTTGCCCCGCTGTGGACTGGCAGGCCACTGGCGTGGAAAAATTGCTTACAAATTGTAACGCGTTTTCGTTTCCTTGCCTATTCTACTTTAGCTTTATTTTTTTCTTCGCTCAAATACAATGAGCTCGCCGTTAAAGACAAAAAGAAACACGTGGTCCATCGCGGAGGAGAAAGATTTTTTGTTATTATGTAAGAAGGCGGTAATAGACCTCCTGGACAAATGCGTGACGTCTACTGGTGTAAGTAGACCCTTTTAACTTTAAGCTATCACAATTTATATTTACTAAACAAATTGCTATCTTCATATTATAAACTTACACTTTAAAAGTAAGTTTAAGTGTACAGAAGACTTAGATAAGACATGCTCGTATAAATGGTCCAGTTCGCGTCTTATTTAAGACGCGTCTTATGTAAGAGGCGTCTTATTTTTCTTCGTATAAATAGTCCTAATAAGGTTAATATATATATTATGTAACCGTGCCTGAGAAGAAAGCTAGAAAGAAAACATTTCAATAATTCTTGATCCCTAAAGATTTCCTAGAATAAATAAAAGTCTTTACTCTAGGTGAGAACCCGTCAAAAAAGCCACTGGAAAAGTGTCAAAGGTACGAACTTTTCACAAAAAAGCTTCCTTTATTTCTGGAGACAGAAGCAAAAAGAGTTCTTTTATTGTTCCAAATGAGGCAGCTTCAGATAAATTAAAAAGACAAAAACAAAAACAAAACAAAGAAAAAGAACACAGCCGTAGCAAACAAGCAAGGACTCTGAAAGATCTTGACTTCGGACTGATAGAAAAACGTTTCTTTACATCTTCACATTGCGCTGCTGAAAATGGTACATAATTTTCGGCAAGTAAACTTTCCAGCGAAATTTGATCATCTCTTACGACTCTTTAATCGCGGGGCCCGGCCCTAAGGATAAAAAATTAAGAAAAACATTTTAAACGTCTTTCCAAGAGTGATTAATCCATTAATCCTTTAAAGCTATGAGTGATGGCGTTCTTAAATGCAAAGCCAGGGTACAGAAATAGTAGCTGTCGGACGAGCTCTTTGCTTGTATGACTTGCAAAGAGTGCCTGTCTCACTCACACATGTCACACTGTCAATTTAACTGAACTACTTCCAATCTAATCAATCGATTTTCATTAAAGCATTTTTTATTTTTTTAAAAAAACAACTGAAGTCACTCGCCTCTTTCTCTAGAATATCTGAAAACCCCTTATCTAATGCGTGTTGAAAAGCTTTAACGTTGTATTTAGCGCTGCCTGATCAGTCTATCCCTAATGACCTTCATCACTTCGTAAGCCATTACGTACTTAAAAATGGTCGCCAGAGTCCGAACTGATTATCCCTAGGAGACAATATCTGGGCCAACACTAGCCATGAATTGATTCCGTTTAAAATTGCCATGTCATAGATAATTGGTAACTATATAAGTAAAATTAGAAGGTTTGAGAAATAACCGGAAGTTTAGTTCATTGTAAAGTTCTACTTATACCAGGGGCGGATCCAGGATTTTTTTTAGGAGGGGGTGCACTCGTCTCTTGCTCTATTTCAACACCAATAAACCACATAGTTTTTTTTTTTTGCGGAATACCAGTTGTATTAGAAAACCGCAGGTCATCTCATAGGGGGGTGCCGCCCCCTGCACCCTCCCCCTAGATCTGCCCCTGTATAGTGAGGTCATGGATACAGTGAAAGCTTTTTCCTTCTCAAATACGGTAAGCAGACACGCTTTTAAGCGAGGTTGGAAAACCTAAGATAAACTAATGACTAGCGATGATTTGATAGTTGTTTGTTATATAATGCTTAGTCATGCATTGTCGGTGACCACTAAATAAGCAGCGGAACAAGGGGATGTTAAAAATAAGCGGAAGTTAAGTCATTTATGGTTTCAGTTTAGGATCGCACGGCTAAACATGACGATAACCTTTTCTTTTAACAAGATTTAATATAATTTAAGGCGAAGGCATGAGTCGGCCACAACATTTATATATTGAATAACTAAGAACGGCTAATCTACAGTAAGTAAGATGAACCACCTTCTCAAGCCAAAGTAGTTTTATTAAACGCTTTGGTACTAGAACGAGCTCGTGCCTGTGTCGACTACATTAGAAAGTACCAGTTCCAATTTAGCTTAAATTTGGTTTAGCTCTTATAACTGGAAAAGCCTGAAGCTGGCTGTCCTCGAAGCAGAGTTAGCTGAGTTCAGTGGCACTGCGTCGCTGGATTAGGAAAGTGGCTTAACTTGCTTATTAAAAGCATTTTAAGAATTTAAGAATGAAAATAAGCGGAAAGACTCAGTCTACGAAACGTCGTGAAAAATCAGAACAGCAATAGTTACAAATTTAATTTTGATTTTTTTTATCGGTTGTCGATAAGTTACTCACGTTCTGGACCGAAGGGTGTTTAGTGTAGTTAACTCCTTACATGTAATTCAAACAAACATCTCCAAGGATTTCAGTTAAGCAAAGTAAAGACAGCACATGACGTCGTTGTTAGTGGAGCTTTTTCAAGATTACCCTCGATAAAATGATTACTTTTGATCTTTATATAGTGACGACTATTTTTATATGTTCCAAAACAGTCCAACAGATATTGGACAAGGTGTGTAAGGAAATTAAGATTGGCTTAGTGCCCTTGCTTTTAAAACTGATTAAGCAACTGGGTACTTGGTGAATTAGACTTTTTCAAAGTCCGTCGCTTCTCGTTTCCGGTTCCGGTAGTAGGCTCCCGCTTTCTCGCTCGCTTTGCCACCGAAAACATAACAAATTTCTGGCTCGCGCTTTGCGCTCGACTTGTGAGCAAGTCTATTAGTAAGTCTACTAAAAGGGGTTTGTTTATTTTAACAATTAGCTTAATAAACAAATAGCCACGAGGTAATTTTCTAAGTAGTTAACTGGGTCACGATATCGGTTTTAGTTGACTTATTTTTAAAACAGACAAGTAATTTTTGGAATGCAGTGGGAAAGAAGTACCAATTAATTAAGGGACTTGCAAACTTTGTTCTTTTCAATGAGGCACGAAATATCGGGGCCTTTTTACCATACATTTTGCTATAAACGAGGTGAAGACTATCGATTGTTTTATTGGACTTTCTGGGGTCTTCGTTTTCAAAGAATTTTCAATATCGGAGTTGCACTAAAGGTCACTGGGTGCTGAATCACGAAAATTAAGACGACTGTGCTTTCTTTCCACTTTCTTATTTGGAAAATTTTGGTCCATTAGTGAAGTTTCTTCCTAGTCATCATGCAGGCGCACCCAGTATATAGTACAGTACTTCTAAGGCGAAGTTACAGTCTCGAGCCAATGGATTCTTTATTTGATAAATCCGTTTTGTCTCTGTTTTCAGCCGCTAAAAACCTAATGGGTAGGTCATTGGCCTTCTCGTCACCTTTAAAGAACACTAAACAGTATTAAAGGAAACCAGACATCAAGAAAAACAGAGGTGAAAAAGGGCCAAATTAGGTCATTCCATTTAAAATGCCAGTTGGTATCCGAATAAAATGGTCACTGAATGACTTAACATAAGACTATATAACGTGTCAAATAACAATCCCCAAGTTATTTGGCAACCGATTGAATATAGGTGTTCTATTTAGGAAACGTTAAGTATCATCTGGTTCACTTGAAGTTTTCAGTTTCTTTTTTATTTTAAAATAACAGCCTTATACCGTAAATGCAAGAAGACATCGAGTGCTTTATAACTGAAGCTCAAACAACCCATGCAAGACTGGTTACATCAGTTGTGGCCTTTGCATTTGACCTCGAGTAGGAATCATGATTTGTATGTTTAGTAAAACGGTTATGAGCGGAATTAGGAAATATATTCACGCGCGACCGTGTTGTCAGAATCCTAAGTAATAAATTCCTTCGCCTAAGGGCTCGGGCAGTCATTTGAGTTTTGACAACGCACAAGCAAAATCACTTCCCAATTTCACGAGTATGCCAACTTGAGCCTGTTCCACTTGTTCATTGTGCCGAGGAGTCCACGCAACGAATAGTTTAAAGCATACATTTAAACTAAACCTCAAGATTTTCTGACTTCTCGTCAGAATCCTTCTTGCCGTTAAAAACAGTGCTCTTTCGTATGTTAAGGTTTCTAAAACTTCTTTCAATGCCCTGACATCTTCATTCGAAATATATTTAAACCTAAGAACGCCATCTTGGCATTGAGATAGAAGGAACTTTACCACACAGCACTATATATGTTGTAATTTCACATATGAAATTTTGAATTATCGCTGATTTCGCTCATAAATCAAGGGGGTAATTTGTCATCCACGGTTTTACCCTTTAAATTTCGAGCAAATTCTGTTCCCAGCTGTAACTCTCTCTGGATGTTGGCCAACAAATACGAGTATTTCAAAACATTTGCGGGTACAAGCTTTGTAAGCTATACTTAATTTGAAATAAACTTGTTGTCGTAGTGTCGAGTTAAAAAGGACCAAAAAGTGATCAAGCATACAAACCTGACGGTTTGAAAACTCATTCTCATGCACAATTTTTGTTTTCGAAGCCCAAATGATCTCCAGTTACTCTCTTATTTCTGGTACCACACTCTAGCTTATCGTCCCACAATGTCAGTCTAAGGTGAAAAGCGTTTAATATTTAATTCTCTAGGCTTGTTCGCGGGATAAGGCAGAATACTGAAAGGAGTGAGAAAAAGATAGGAAGATAATTATGTTTTACACTCTGTTGTCTATCTATAGTCACCTTGTGCCTCACAAAAAATGGCATGAAAACTAAACTTTCTCAGCATAAAAATTTTAAAATAACTTCAACATTAAAGAAGCTGCCTTTCCAAAAAAATAATAATCGGCTTGCTCCTTAAATGACTGACGACACGCTACTGCACTAGTCTTCGAAAATGCGTTTACACGTAATAATGAAAAAAAATATTTGAGTATTTTTTAACTTCCACGTCGCCTCTTTATTGACATAAACTAACGGCAGTTAATAAGCCACTGAATAATTGTGACACCTAACTGGTTTCAACATGATAGAGAAACGTTTTGAAGGTGAAGGACAAGAAGAAGAGAAGAGACTTTTCTTACGATTCACTGTAAATATTTACTTGCAAAAATTAATAAATCTCGGACAAGAAGACTTGATCTTGAAACACAGTTTTCGATTTCATGAATATAGCTGCAAGTGAAAATACATATTCATTTGCGACTTTACCGTGATAAACTAGAAAAAACTGCAAGCACAGGAATTCGTTCCTAGGCATTACTCGCGCTTACCGAGTGTCTTCTAACACTACTCCTGGCTCAGTGAAGCTCAGTTTTTGAGTTAAAGCACAACTAAGAAAAAACGGTTTAATATAAGATGTAAAAAATAATCTGAGAAATACAGCTACATATAGCTACCTGTAAAATTTCCCTTGCGCGGTCTCGTGAGGAAGGTCACAGGCAACTTCGATTGGTAACTCAACAATTCAAAAAGTGATGGCAAAGCTTTACCCGTCAAGTTTCCAGGCTTGCTTGGTATTCCAGTGGCATTTAGTGCTGTGAAGTTAAGAGTCCAGTTTCCGCAAAGTCCAACGCAGCTGCAGCATTTTGCCCAAAGATGAGAGCCAAGGCATCTGTAACAGTTCTCACAGCACTCGCAAAGTTTGCTCGAAGCTTCAGTTCCACAGCCGCAATCTTTCATGATAATACAGAAAGACACGCGCGCAGCACACACAGTGCTATTGCAGTTTTTGAATGCTTGGTAAGCAGTTCTTGTTTTATTACGTTGTCCATTAGGCGCTTGAAAACAGAAGATGTTCAGCCAGACTACGGCCATGAAAAGGAGGCATGAAGGCTTCATTTTTCGCTGAAAGAAAACAGTTTCGTTTTCATCAGTCGGAACACTACGCTTAGGAGTGAAAGCAACAACAATTCTAGAGGTAACGTAAGTTAGTGATTCTTGCGTGAGACTTCTTAAACAATACTTAGTTTCCAGTAGAATTTAATTCCTTGCTTTTGAGAAGACACAAACGGGGTATTGCAGTAAAAGCAAGACGTCAAACCCAGCTGCCCCTACCTGTGAACTTTACGAAGCAGGGTTCTTTTGTTCAGTTCCCTGAATCTTTTCAAAGGCTTTCCAACCGAATTTGGGAAATAAAGATTCTCAGGATTAGACAAAAATTTCGAATTGTGTCTTTTTTCCACGATACCGCAGCCAACACGGTCTTTGTGCAAGTGCTTGAATGGCCGCGCTTTTATATATGGGTATATCGGATAAAACGGCTCTTTAAGGAGCGAGATACCGCCTTACATTTCATAATCCAATATCACTCTGGAAATAAACTATGGCGGTAGTATTTGCGACACCTCCGCGCTACAACGTACTGCAGTTGCAGCTTGGTTTTAACGTACACTAAGCAGCAAGTGGAGAGTTTGAAGTATAGCTCAAAGAAGTGCTACATGTAAAAGGAGCTTTACAGTAGCTCATTGCTTGGCGTTCTTTTTCTACATTTCGTGCTAATGTCGGGAACATTTTAAAAATAGCTCCATCCAGGGGCCCATTACCCTTGTTATATTGCACAGGGACGTTATCGAAAAAATCCAGAGTTGGGCAGGCAGTCAAAGCATTTCTATCATTTTTGTCAGGATACTTTCCTGTCCGAAAAACTCCCGGTAAACTGAGGTCAACTGTTCTTCATCACAGCACTCGACCAGCTGTTACAGATAGTCGCCAGAACGTATGGCTGATAAACTCGCCCGAATAAAGATGCTGAAGGTCTGAAACGGTTTTGAAACATAACGGAAGCATTGATGTGAAAAAAAATGCAAATTAAGAAGTTTTTCATCCAAAATTACCTCTCTCTAGGAGGCAAAGGAGGTCATACTCGCTCATTTGAAGTCAAAATGGGACGACATTCGACCTTTCCCAAAGTATGGGCCATTTTGCATCAGGAGAATTGACCTAACCTCAGTTAGATTCAGTCCATAAACGACTTCACTTGGCCAGCAAAACAGTTTCTATATACTTTGTGGTAAAATGAAATAAGCTAATAATAACTGCAACAAGAAGATAATTGCTTGAAGTAGGATTCCAGACGAGAACAACTGAATATTTTGTGTGCAAAAATCCAAACTTGGTAACTTTGTTGGACCGAAAGTTGATTTTGCTCAGAAATTTGTTTCATCTGTTTATCGCAATGAATTGTTGAGTATTCTTGTAAATCAATTAAGCGTGTTGAGTAGAGGTTTCTAATTTGGGAACGTGTTCATGACGAGTTTATACGCACTAGCGTTTCCTTTGTAAACAGTTTTAATTAAGAGTTCGGAACTTTAATCACATGACCCCACCCAAATTAAGCTATTTTACTGTGCATATTTTAAGTTATTTTTGTTTGGCCAAAATTTTGTAAAAATTAGAATTTATTACCTTTTTGATAAATAAATCGCTCTTATAGATCATCAGTGAAATGAAATGGAAACTGTAATTGTACCTAGGTAGGCCATGAAGGAAGAAGTCATGCCATAGTCATGCCAATTTTGTTTATTTACCCTATCCCATCCCAAAACAAAAACAAAAAACAAAAACAAAAACATTCCGGGTTTTATAGCTGTTTGAAGAGAAAGATGGGCATTATTGCTGATGTTTTCAGTGTTAAAAAGAGTCATGCCTTTGCATCCTTAAGGTGTTTCTAAAAATAGATGACGCAGTCCCTCTAAGCAGGAATGTTTTCTAGAAGTCATATAGGCCAGTTTTTATTTTCTAATTTTTTTAATATTAATGCTCAGCTTTCTACCAAGTCCTTCTAACCAACTATTTCTCTCAGCATTTTTCTTTTTCTAAAGGTTAATTTCTTGCCAAGATCCCCTTATGAGCTCCTACTCTTTCTTGGTCTTAAGAGAGCTGATACTGCTGAAGGACAATCGAAGATTCGAGTCAAATCTTTTGCATGTAACAAGAGCAATAAAGAAACAAAACAATATCTTAGACAGCTTCCTGTTATAGGATGTCTCAGGATCAAAAGTAGAAAGTATTAATGCTTAAATGTACAATTTCATATCCCGTTCATTCTCTGAGAACAGAAACAAGACTTTCAAAAGTACTGACAGGAGATACCGTTATTGGATCACTCTGAAACTCCAAAACATGTAAAGCCAAAATAAGTGGTCTACTGGATTCCGGCGTCATGCCGCAAAGCTCAAGGACTCGTTTAGAATATGGGAGTTCATTAGTTCGGGAAATCATAGAACTTAAACACTGGAGAGTGAAACGAAAGATTTCTATATAATTATAACCCAGCGATTCTGCTTCAAAGGTATGTATAAAAATTTGATATATCCTCATCTGGCTGTTGATATGATTCCAGCGTAAATTTATGATCTAATTTGTACGTTTAATTTAATAGTTGTTCGCCATATCGCGAGAGTCAAAGAGTGGCTCCTGGAGTAACTACTAAACTTCTTTAACCACTGAGGTTTATTGGAGACATCAGTTAATTAACAGCTCATTGACTTTTAACCGAAGAGAGAACCTTGTATGTCAAGCTTTCAGGTCCCTTGAGTTTGCCCCTTCCCTCGAAGCCCTTTGTCTTTTCCCCAGCGGCAATCAACATCGACAAGGAAAATAACCGTGTTTTTGCATCTAATGTGGTGTTAAATTTATAAAGTAAACACTAAGAAACCAAGAGATTTTCCCTCTTAACAAAGTGAGCATTTGTCAGAAAGATATTCAAACAAACAATAACTGAGATCATGGAAGGATTGGAGGTAAACGACGTTTAAGAGGTCCCTAAGAATAGTTTTAACTCTCCTTTACATTCAGTCTAACAGGTGACTGGAGGATCATTTGCCTCTGTTGCTTTGTATTTTCAGTGTTCAATCTTGTCACCAAGTACAGAATTTTGGTACTTTCAGAGGTACATGCACAAATGCATTAGACAAATGAATCTTTTAGAGACCAAAACAGTAGACTGAATCTTAATAAACTGACTATTGGAGCTTTCAAAATATGGCTTACAGATGACTGAACCTTGAAGCGTTTAGACAAAACCAACCATAAAGTAATTAAATTGTGAATTTCCATTTGCTATAGTTATTTGTCACAGTTTTGTTGGTGGATGAAACTTTTAAGAGTAATTATTAACTGAGTGCATGTGTCCCTAGAGTTTAAAACAACAAACGTCTTCTCGTTTCACTACACCGTTCATAAAAAATAGTTGGAACATCTTTGATTAGCTTACCTGTTCGGGGCGGAGGAGTCAGTTGTATTTCGTGAGGTTCAGTTGAAATGACATTATCTGTTACCTGCGGAAGCAAAGAAACTGTATATTGCTAAGATGTTCATGACTTGTTAGTATCGTTTTCACTGTCGTTTCCTGAGCTACTTAAAGATGTTATGATTACCAAATAGGATAGTCTCTTTTAAACTTATTACTCTTTTTTTTAACGCCGACACGATATACAACGAGGAAGCCTAGAATGATCTTTTTCATTCGTTAAATTTCCAAATCCAAGAATATGTACGATGAGTAATTAAAGAATATTTCGAGAAATTACAGAAGAACCACGTTTCTGGCTGGCCTTGACATGACCTAATAACTGAAGTGCGGTTGCTACGAAGAGAAACATTTTTTCAATTCCTAATTAGCTTATCAAAAAATGATGACAGAAAGGACAAAAAAAGTAATAGATACAGTAAAAGGCTGGGTATGCTTGCCACGCTCTTTTAAAATTATTAATATAGTGAAGAGTACATACGTGATAGTCATCAGCATCAGCCGTCAAAATAAGTCCAACTTATATTGCTTGGATGTTTCCAACGTTCCATTTTAAAGAAGGTAAAGTATTCAACAGTTGATTAGTAGAGGGACTTGGCCTACTACAGGTTTTATTCTTATCTTTACGCTAGAAACTATGATTTATTTTAATCTTTTCTTCTGAGTTAGTCCGTTCATTCAATTTCAAAAGAATGCGAGCTGAATTTGATTTGGCAAAAGTGTTAACAGCACTTTGTACGGTATTGTAAGACTGAACGTGGTTCTTGATTTACAACAATCGTTTTAAAAAGTGCTTGTCATTGCGGTTGAATTTAGTAGCGGCGGTTTAACTGATTAATCTGGGATTCTATGCTCTCATGCTTTTGCCCCACCCAGATAAGGAAACTGTCCACACACTACAATAACCAAGAGCGAAAAGAAGTTCTATCAGGCTCTCTATGTTTGATTTTTTCTACGTACATGTTGAGTTAGAACTTACTACAATTAAATAGCACTGTTGCAAACGCAGTTAATTGACCGGCAAATAAATTTCAATTTAAAAAACCCGCGCCGCTAAGCTTCACCTTAGCCTCAAACCAACACAGGAGCCATTTCTGCACACAGAAGTACAGTATGACTTGATTTGGCATCAGTTTAGTAATCAAGTGCGCTTAACGAGACCACTTTAACTTGGCAAGGAGGCAAACAGTTCAGCTGAATTTAGGCCAATTATACTAAAGCTTACTCTTCAATGCGGGCAGATTTCAGTTAACTGTGTGGTCAAATAAACTATTTTCGTTGACCCCGGCCAACGATGTATCCTTATCGTCAAACGCAAAATGGGAATACCGTGTGGCACGAAAAGTTTGCGGGAGTTTATTTTTGCGGATTGGCGATTTTTTGTGTTTTGCAGGGACTAATTTTTGCGGTTACGACGGATTGGTTTTTCTTGCTAGGCATTAATTTTTACGATTTTTAGAAAGTACCCAGTACCCAGCATTGATAATATTTTCGTTTTTATTGAGTACGTGCAATAGAAATACATATTTTCAAACAATAAAACAGTCAGGACAGTCGTTGCCGTATGCCGTTTTGTTTCTGAATGAAA